TGAGCAGGTCACCCATTTTACTGGACAAACACTGCAAGAATGGGTGTGACAGCTGGGAATCAAATAGAAGTTTCATATGCTATACAATCCTGTCACAGCTGGCATGATAGAGAAGCAAAATGGCTTGTTAAAATCCAGACTAAAGGTAGGTTCCAATAGTCTGCAAGGACGGTCAGTCTGCTTATGGACCATGCTGTGGTGTTTGAACGAGAGACCCCAAAAAGGAGCCTGGAGCCCCGTAGACATGTTAACACATATGGCTGCCTCCCCTATACAGTTGCAAGTACAAACCAAGGAAGAATCACTGAAGCCAAGGTTCGGCCACCAGAATAACCTCTTGCTGCCAGCACCAACTGCACAGAACCCCAGAGACTCCATTGAGTGGACATGGCGTTGGACCTTTCGACACATGGACCAATGATGGCTGGCTCTCCTAGCACCTTGGGGACAAGGCCTGGAAGCTGGCCTCCTGTGTATTCCTGGAATAACAGCAGCGTGGCCACCAAAGGTTACAGTAGTATATCTTGAATGGCCAGAAGGTAGGAGCATCTTACCGGGGAGTTCTGTTTTATCATTATGGCCTATGCATATACCTCCAGTAGCACTATATATAGACTCTTCAGTAACTCCCATGGGGAAAGGAGTAAAAGTATTGTATACTAGACACAGAAGGGACCCCCTTCCTGCTATAGTCCTATCACAGGACCACTCTATTGCATGCATCCAACCTGATGGACAAGATTTGCCTATATTGGTGTCATTAAAACATGTGTCTTATCACCCCTAAAGTCTTTGTGGATTGGGAACTTCCTCTGGCTTGAGGATCATTGTAATTTTTGTTACCTATATCAAAATATTGCTGTATCTTAATTTTTATTATCTCTAAGTTGTTGCTATCCTCTGTTGCTATTGTAGAATCTGGTTACAGTGCTCCAGCTTTCTCGCACAGGGAGCATTGTGGAAGATTGAAAGCATGTACATTGTAAGGTGAAAATCCTGGAGGGGTGGAGTGTGGGGAAGTTGGGGTTCCTATGGCCAGGATCCTCACTGAACTTCAACTACCTGATGATGTAACTGGCCTGTTGCTAGGCTACCACTTCCACACCTTTAGGCAATAAACTATTATTGTGCTATACAGAAAGCTCGGGCCAGGGCTCTGGGCAGAGGTAGAGATGCTAATACTCAACCTACCGCTGGGAGAACAAGCCAGGTAATAAACCCTTTCACCCCAGAGAACATTTTGCTGTCAGTTTCTTTGGTCACATTGAATCCATAGCTAACTTGCCCAGGGCTGAATCCCATTGGCAAGACAGGGTTCTACAGAAATAAGCATTAAAAAATAGAACAATGATTATTAGAGATTCATGGAACCTAATTATACTTGCATGTAAATTCTATGTCCAACAGCATTGTAATTGTTTAAACAATAACAAAACCCCAAAATACTTATTTACAACTTGAAGACATGCCAAAATTCCCAAAACAGAAAAAGACTTTCATGATTATTAGTATATTTCTAGAAAACAATGTTTTTGGGAAGTAAGAACCCTTCCTGAAATCCTTTGATTTTTATTAACACACCTAGACTTTAATTCCTTGGCTTGTTAATGTTTTGGGTTATTTATTGCTTGGTAACCAATCTTGCAAAAGTTAGTGGCTTAAAACAACAATAACCATTTCTTATAATTCATGAATCTGTGGGTTAGCCAGGCTCAGCTGATGACTTCTGTTCTATCTGTCATCAGATGGGACAGCCAGTAGCTGGGCTGGAAGATTTAGCAAACCTAACTTCTTTCAGTTATAGGTGTGTTCCTGCTAGTTTTTTACTGTATAGTATTGACAGCATGAAATGTTTATTGATATGGTTTCAAATCCACCAGTGGAGAAAATGGAAGTTCCTATGGCCAGGATCCTCACCTGACCCTAAACTACTTGATGATGTAATTGACTGCTAGGCTACTGCTTCCACACCCATAGGCAATAAGCTATTACTGACTGAGTCACTATATAAGTTGCTCTGCCCAGTGCTCTGGGTGGAGGCAGAGACAGAGGTGGATTACAGACCTGCAGACTGCTGGATGCAGACGTGATTCTAGTGCTTGACCTACCACTGGGAGAATAAAGCCAGGTATAAATCCTTTTACTCCAAGAACATTACATTCTCATTTCTCGGTATCACTGACTTCACAGTGAACTTGCTTGGAGCTGAAACCCTCTGGAAGATACTCCCACTTCTATCAACCTTTAAGAACTACCAATTGTCAAATTTTGATGTAATATCCAAGAAGTATATCCACAATTATCTGAAAAGGCTATTAAAACACTCTATCCTTTTTCAACTATATAGCTGTATGAGGCTGAATATTTTTATATACTTCAGCTAACAAAACTCATAGTAGATTTACTGCAGAAGCAGACATGAAAATCCAGCTGTCTTCTACTAAACCAGACATTAAAGACATTTGCAAATACATAACACAAGGTCACTCTTCTCACTAATTTTTTTGTTTGGGGATATATAGTTAATTTTCTTTAAAATGGGTTGTTATCAGTTTCTTGATTTTGATTTAGTTAAGTAAGATGTCATCACTGGGAGAAGCTGGGTGATGAAATCTCACTGCATTATTTTTCAATTTGTTGTGAGTCTGTTTCAAAATAAAAAGCTTAGAAATATGTTAACATACAGTAGTTACATGGTCTTTTTAATGATTAATAAGAATCTTAAATATTTCTTAGTTTCAGTTTCTAACACAGTAATATCAGTAGATATAGCCACATAAGCAGAAGCTCTTTGGGATCTTCAATAATTTTTAGCAATGTAAAAGGGATCTATGATCAAAAACTGAGAATCGCTGCAATGTAGGTAAATGAGGAAGTGGTGAGAAATAGTATGGCTTAGACCAGGGAGGTAGCAAATAGGAGTAAAAAGGAGTTAAATTCTGCATGTGTTTCAAAAGCAGAGTCAGCACTATTTGCTTGTGGATCTGATGTGGGAAACAAGAAAAAGAAGTCAAGTTCTGTTGCATGAGGAGACTAATAGAATGAAACTGACAGTTAATCAGATAGTAATGATCACAAGAGGAACAGATTTTGGGGGAATATAAATAAGGAGCTTATTTTGGAAATGTTAAGTTTTACGATGACCATCAAACATTGAAGGGGAGAAGTACATATGTTTGACCTGTCTACATCAGGCTTTCTTGACTCAGTTAATACTGTTTGGGTATATTTGGCAGTTCTCTCATCTTAACCTAAAAAGATTAGGTTTCTCAATTGGCTTCACATATTTACAGTTATACCAGTGCAAATAGCAATGAAAGTCTTACAAAATAATCACCCTTCACTGGTTGCAGGGGAAACCAATTATATGAGCAGTACTCAATCCTGGCTGCACATCAGAATCACCTGGGGAGCGTTTAAAACATACAGATAGTAAGGCCGTGCATTGAGAGATGTTGATTTAACTTAGTCTGGAGTGGGGCCACAGGCATCCCATGTTTGAAAAGCTCCCCACATGATTTTAATTAGCAGGAAAGAGGCCTGATTTTGCCATTTCTTGTACACTTTTAAGATTTCTTTTAAATTTAAACTCTCTTGAAGCCATCCCTTTGTACTCACTATGCTAACTGACAAAGGAAATTTTCTCAGAGCCAGTGTGTGCACAGGACTTGCCCCCTGCAGGACCCTGAGCCTGAAGGGCATGAGGCAGCCGATGATGAGGACCCCTGGAGCAGGACCAGAGCAGCTGCTTCCCAGAAAACTGCTTAAAATGAGTAGAACAGCCTGATGGGAATTTTGGCTGTGCTATCTAGACACAAGAAAAGAGCTCAGGGTTCAGCATCAACCCACCAAGCTCCGCTACCACCAAACAATCCTGAACTGACAAGCTAAGGAGCTGTGGAAACTGACCCCTCACTGTACCTGGTGGAGCTGTGGCTTTGGGCTTTCTGAGCCCCACCCTTGCCTTTGGCTGGAGAGAGATAGTCTTCATGGGCTGCTCCCCATAATACATCCCTCTAGACGAGAGCTTTAACTCATTGTCCCCGAGTTTTTTTTGTGTGTTTTTCTGAGTTATTCCTTTGAAGCCTCAGAATATTTGTTTACCTTTAATCACAATCAAGTGGGGGGTGTCATGAAAACAGCAAGCACTTTTATGTGTTGAATTTGAGCTATTTGCACAAGGTATGTCAGACAGAGGGAAGATGAATTCACTCCCGTTGGCTCCCTGGTTCTTAGGTTTTGGACTTGGGATGGAACCACACCATCAGATCTCCTGAGTCTCCAGCCTGCTGAATGCAGGTCTTAGGACTTCTCAGCCCCCATAATAATGTGAACCAATTCCTGATACTAAATTTTTTTATAGAATGATGCAATACCCTTGACAAAGTAATCCCATTCCTGGTATTTTATCCCAAGAAAATGTATAATTCAAAAGATTTTTGTAAAAGGAACTATATGTACAAAGTTATTAACCACAGTGTCATTTATAATAATGAAAAATTAGAAACAATACATATGTTTAGCAATTGGAAAGCAGACAACTATAGTGCATCCATTTGAAAGAAAATTATGCAGACATTAAACTAATAATCATGAAGACTATGTAGCAACATAGGAAAGTATTTGTAACTATAAGTGAATTCAAAAAAGAATATTAAATTGTATAAACACTATAGTTACAATAAGAAAATGTAAACAATGAAGAGAATCCATTTATTTGGGTCATGGGATTCCACAAGTTTTCATAACTTTCCTTTACCAGTAAGACACTTTAAAAATAATAAAAGATGTAAAATGAAACAATGAGGGGACTAAATTATCAATGGTTCTTAACTGGAATAGACTTCAGAATTAAAAAATACTTACACTTGGGTCCTACCTTATAAAAATTCTGAGATGGGGCTGGGACACCTATACATTTAAACACACACACACACACACACACGGACCCCTCCTCCACTCCCAAATAAGTTATTTCCATGCCTATTGGTAGGTGAATTCCCAGCATAAAGTTCACAGATGGATAGAGAATAAGGGAGCTGTTCCAGCAACAAGCTCAGTATTGCTTACAAGGCACCTCTGCGCGGCAGAGACCAGGCTGTTTGTAGTGTGCTCCTGGCCTGCTGTGGCCACTCTCATTAGTGTTTGTGGCTTTTGGGCAGTGGGAGGCATCGCCCCCTGAGCAGGGCTGCTCACGAGGTGGAAGGTGTCCTGGAACTCATTGATGTCGATGTGGCCATCCTTGTTGAAGTCAATGCTACGGACAAGGTTACAGACGCAGTCATCTGTGACATCAGTGTTCATGTGAGAGCTGAACAGTTTCCAGGTCTGCCCGAACTCGTCCAGAGAAATGTACCCTTCCCAGAGGGAGGAAGTTACTTTAGTGAGTCAGTGTCGTTTTTAAAGTTCGTTTCCTCTAACATTCTTGCAAGGACACCTGCTCTCTACTGTTAAGAAGACAAAGATACCCAAGGCCTTATATCTACTTTAAACTTCCAAATGCAAGGCATAAAACCACTGGCTCACCAGTGACTAGGGATGCTGCTAAATGTCCTAGAGTGCACAGGATGGACCCCCAAACAGAGAATTATTCTGGTCAAAATGTCAGTGGTGCCACTGCTGAGCAACCCTGTGTTAAATCATCCTAAACATGTACTAATTTATTCTGATTTTTTAAAGCTTTTGGACCCATACATTTATAGTCAATTGAGTTTTTAAAAGGGTTCTAAGATCACTCAATGGGGAAAGAGTAGTTTTTTCAACAGGTGATAGGGAACAACTGGATATCCACATGTAAAAGAATGAAGTTAAATCCCCACTTTGCAGAATAAACAAAAATAAACTTAAAATGGATCAAAGACCTGTTTAATATAGCTGAAACTATAAAACAGAAGAAAACATAAGGGTAAAACTTTGGGACCTTGGATTATGTGAATTTCTTAGATATCACACCAAAAACATAAACAACAGAAGAAAAAATATAAATTGGACTTCTTTAAAATTAAAAACTTTTATACATCAAAGGACTCTACCAAGAAAGTGAAAGACAACTCACAAAACCAGAGAAAATATTTGCAAATCATATGTCTGATAATGGTATAGTATGCAGAATATATAAAGAACTCTTAAAAATATCAATAGTAAAAGGACAAACAGCCCAATTAAAAGATGGGAAAAGGATTTGAATAGACATTTCTCCAAAGAGATAGACAGTGTCCAATAAGCATATGAAAAGAAGTCAACATCATTGGTTATTAAGGAAATGCAATTCAACACAATGATGAAGTACTTCACACCCAGTAGGACAGCTATTAAAACAAAAAAGGAAAATAACAAGTGTTGGTGAGGATTTGGAGAAAATGAAATCAAAGGTAGGAAAGCAAAAAGGTATGGCCACTGTGGAAAACAGTTGGCAGTTTCTCAAAAAGTAATACATAGTTTTACCATGTGATCCAGCAATTGCAGTTCTGGGTATATATCCAAGAGAACTGAAAACATGTTCACATGAATGTTCATAGAAGCATTATTCATAATAGACAAAAAGTAGAAATCCAGATGTTTATCAACTGATAAATGGACAAAAAAAGTGGTATATCCATACAAAGGAATATTATCCTGCTATTAAAAGGATAAAGAATGGATACAGGCTACAAACATGGATGAACTTTGAAAACGTTATGCTAAGTGAAAGAAGCCAGACACCAAAGGCCATGATTCCGTTTATATGAAATGTCCAAAATAGACAAAGCAAGACACAGAAAGCAGGTTAATGGTTGTCAGGGTCTGGTAGAGAGGGGCCGGATGGAGAGTGACTGCTAATGGACATGGGTTTCTTTTTAGGGTGATGAAAATGTTCTAAAATTAGATGGTGATGATGGTTACACAACCTTGTGAATATACTAAGAATCAATGAACTGAGCTTTTTAAATGGGTAAATGATATGGTTATGTGACTTATACCTAAAACCCAAAAAAGAGTAATAACATTGAAAAGGGTCTTTGAACCACTGGGGGAAGAGGGTAAGGGTATACAGGACCTCCTTACACATTTTTTTTGGTAACTTCCTGTGAATCTATAATTATCTCAAAATGTTTTTTACAAAATACTTTGGGAGGGACATTGTCAAAGCTTTTCTGTTCAAGGTACTCTTCATTACTTTGTAGCTATGTTTGATACAACTATAAGGGATCTCACATCTTCTAATAATTATTTTTCCTGTAAGTTCTCATTCAGTTTGCCTTCATTCTTCTCTGCCGAACCCTTCCTCTATACAGACAGCTCTTCTATATTTGAGCTCATACTGTTCAAGTAGTCTTTCAGTTTCTGCCATTCATAAGCACAGCCATTACTTACTTTGCTTTAAAGTATTTGAACAGAGAGCTAAAAAATCTGGAAGACACTAAGGGATGGAAGATAAAACACTTGCTGTGTGTGTCAGAGGTGGTAGGACGCAGAGTGCCTTTACCTGAATGATCGCTGTCCATGACCCTAAAAATGGTCTTCAGGTTGGATCGGTTTTGATACAGTGTTTCCAGGAAACCTGACTGTATGTTCTGCAAGAAAAAACTCATTTTCCTTCTATATCCTATGTTCAGGCTTGTCCTAACATACATTTAACACATAATCCACTGTTAGTGATAATAAGACACTCTTGAAAAAAATCTGAGATGGTTTTACCATCCTTCTCTCCCCACACCCTTCAGCCTACCAAAATCCAGTGGGTCTTGAGGAACCTAGCGAGTGATGAAAACTCGGACTCACCGTGGTGATGGGTGCACTCATCTGTGAATAAAGTAAAAACTATTGAACTGTGTACTTTAAATGGATGAATTGTATGGGATGTGAATTATATTGCAATAAAGTTGTTAAAGAAAGGTACCTAGCCCAAGACCTCATACACATTACACATTCATTAAGCATTTACTGAATTATTTATTTATTTTTCTAATGGGGGAAGCAGAACCGTGTCAAGGATGTCAGATAGACAGTTTGAATCCTAGTTCTACAGCCTGGAAGCTCTGTGACCCCAGCTACTTGACTAAACCTCTCTCAGCAGTGTCCCCATAGATATAATGGTACTGCTAATACCTACCTTTTGGGTCATTTTGAGAATAAACTGAGGTAACATACATAAATCACTTAACACAAAGTCTGACACATAGAAACTCAATAAATTGTTGTTCTCTTTTCTCATCCATCTGCTCTTTTGGGTTCTCAATATTTGGTTGTTTCTGACTCAGAATTCTTTCCACAAAGGGCTTCATAGTCCACAGTAAACCTTGATCCATCATTTTCACACCATTACCGCATGGCCCAGTTGTTCTCTGGCTGAGTCCTCCAGCCAGGACTTGTACTTCAGCACGTTACTGTTGAGCTGCTCGCCAGCTGCGGCTTCAGCATCCTCAGCAGTCTCAGGTGTGACACAGACTCCACGGTGGCTGCCCAGTCGCCAAGGGAGATGAAACCTGCGGGAAAGAGCTAACTTGTAGACTTGTCACTTGCAAGGCTAGCTTCCTGCCCAAGAATGCAAACCTTCTTATTCCAACATCCTTCTTATCTGTAGGCAGTGGAAGTAATGAGCATGGTCACTACTTTGATTGGTCATGGCAGAGTTGGTTGGAAAAGATGGTTGCCAGAAAAAATACAGGATGCCCAGTTCACTTGGAATTTCAGACAGACCACAAACTGTAAGTATAGCCCAAATATTGCATGGGATATATTTATATTTAAAAAGTATTTGTTATTAGTCTATATTTATAATTGGATTTGATGAGGCATCCTGTTTTATTTGCTAAATCTGGCAACAGTATTCGAAGTCATACTAGTAATGTAAATAATATCATAAAACATACATATACATCATTGGTTGTTAATGTGTAGTTGGAAAGATATTGCTATGAATTATGACTATTACTGCTATTTCTTTTTTTTGGCAAATAAAATATACATATTTATGTGTACAACTTATATAGAGATATTGCTATTTCTTAATAGAGCTGTATGTGGTCAATGACAATTAGACATTCCATTGAGTTGAACAAAGACAAAATTTCTTCTTGCGTAACAGAGCACAGAACAAATAAGCACACACTTAACAAGAAGCCAAATCACTGATGTTGGGCAAATTTTGGGTGCATTCTTGAAACCTCCCCACCTGCTGTTTTTTGCCTAATTCTGTCCTTGCTACCCTTTCCTCCACTCCATTCCTTTTACCATCTCCATCTGTATCTACCAAATTCAGAGTCTGTTAAAAGCCTTGACTTTAAAATTTAGAAAGATAACTGGGTCGGTCATCCTGTTGAATAAAATGGAGGAACAAGTCAAAGATGTCTTCTGGTAACTAGTTCAATGTATTTATTTGATAACTACAGTGTGACACTGTGGCCAGCTTCCTTCCTCTATGTATATTCTACTTGATCGGTCTTACCAGTCTTGTCTGCATCATGCTTCTTAAATTCAACAAAAAGATCTGAGGAATAAGCAAACAGCTTTTCCCACCAAGCTCTCAGAGCTGACTCCTCTACTCTGCTAATCCAGGGACAGAAGATGGAAGCAAGCATTTGTACATTAGCATAGAGGAAGTAGTCATGGGGTTTTACTACATTTCTCCTCTCTCTTAATGTCTCAAGCTTCCTGGAGCTCAGTTTTTGAGGGAAGAGCTCCATATCTTATTTCCCCCCATTGCTCCCACACTTCTCCCTGTAGTGTACACACAGGACCTGTTTGGAGAACACTGCTGTCCTCTCCAGGGTAGGACAGTGGCTAGAGCAGAAGTTTAGGAGAAAGACCACCTTTGTGGTAAAGTTACGAGGCTGCACTGTACCTCAGTTCTCCCATCTGCAAGTAATATTAGATGCTTCCGTCCCAGGAAGAAAAGAACATTGTTGACCCATGTGAACCCTGAAATCCATTTGCCAAATCCCCAGAAAGCAAAAGAACCTGTGGCTGTGGCTTATGGGGTGACACCAACCCTTTAAAGATGAGTGAAAACAGAGGAGAGACCCAGGAAAGGTTTAGTGGCCTGTATGAGGACTTCACCCAGCATGCACCCACTGAGGGTCATTTCTGCAGGAGGCAAATTTGTTGCTTCTGAGAATGATGGGTAGGTGAGATCTCAGAGTGTATGGAGGAGGAGACCCCGCCACAGAGTCTGTTCTAGACCTTACTGCCGACCTAGCTGCACTTTGAATTATAACTTACAATTTGGATAAACATAATGGCATTTGACACTTCAAATGTTCTAAAACACTAATTCTGTTTCTCTGAAAATCATTCATTGAAAAGTCTTGCCTTTGCCTCATGGTTAGCATATGGGTTGCCTTGTCAGCTTGATACTGCACAATGTGGGGGTCAGGGCCGGCCCCAGTCTGACACAGGCCTCTCTGTTGCTGCCAACTTCATAGTAACTGGAGCAGAAAAGATGGCTAACACCGAAATCCAAACAGAGGGAGGTGGGCATTCAGGGTCACAGAAGAACAGTTCCCCTTCAATCCTGTAGGGCCCAGCCCATTTTGAGGGGCTGCTCTTCCTCCTTAACCTCACCTGTGGATCATTTTTTAAAGTCATGAATGCCGTAGGGTAGGAGTTGTGACTCAAGTAATAAAAACTTGAATTCTGATATGACATCTGCAATGTGTTTTCTTCATATTTTTATCCCAAGTAAAAATAGCAGGAGTCATAGGAAACACTTCGTTTGGTTCAGTTTAGAGGCAAGCTGGGTCTCACTCACTGGGGTGGCCACCACAGCCAGCAGGCAAACCAGTTATTACAGCTGGTGTGAGACCCCAAAGCAGACTTTCCTACACAGTGCTGTGCCTCCTGACATGCTCTGGGAAAAAGGTTCCCTTGTCAATACACTGGGAAATGCTAGACATTATATCTCATCATGGAGATTTACAATGAATATAGGAAACTAAAGATTCTCTCAGGTCCTGCATTAGAGAAACCTGTATAACCTTTTAACCAAATGTTAAATGCTTACATTCATTGATCTCAAATCATGCTTACATGTACATGCTTACATCAAGCTCAATGAATTCTTACATTCATTGATCTCAAACATTTTTCCCCATGTGGAGCCAGGTATTTTCCTGCAGGTTAATTTTCCTGGCAATATTCTCATCCTAGTAGCATTAGGCTAGGCAAACAGTGTAGAATGTGAAGATGCCCAAAAATTAGTAGGGACATTAGAGCTCCTGGAAGACAATCTTGAATCCCTGCCCGGGGCAGAGCAGAAATTCTGGTAGCCGGTGGTGCTGTCTGAAACCCATGATGGCACAGCAAGCAACGGGACTCAGAGAACAGAGACACACTGGGAAACCTGTGGGCCATGTTTCCATCCATGACTCAGACCATAGCGGCCCCTTACTTTCCCTTCAGGGTATTGGTGAGTGATGGCCTCAATCAAATTTTGAGTTTTAAAGGGGCTGTAAATGACTGTGAAGAACCCAGTTGCTCTGGGCAAGAGAACAATAAACACAAGACTCGGCTAATTATGTGACGAGGGCTGAGCCCATCCAGGCCCCAGAGGAGCAACATGGGCCACTCTTATGCCATCGCAGAGGGTCACCCACCTTGCGGCCATGGCAGACTTCACAGCCTTCGGGTTTGCACTCATGTGAGCAAATCAAGAATTGCAGGTTGTATTTCTGTAACAACTGCTCTGTCACATTAGGTCCAAAGAAATAGCCCCTCCTCGAATAGTGTTGGCCTTGCAGCCCTCCTGGGCCATGGGGCCACTCCACAATATATCTATGACTTGGAGAGACCGAGAGATGGTTTCTTTCTAAAGTCTAGATAAACATTCAGAGTCATTCCTATGAAAAGAGGAAGCAGGAGAAAAGGAGAGGAGGAGGAGGACAGGAAGAAGAAGATGAAAATGTGTGAATAAATATCCATGCAATCAGTATTTAACATACAATTATATTTTGGACCCCTGAGGTTCCAGAATTTGTTATTACTCACAAAGAGAGCATGCATATGTGCATACTGTTTGATAACTATATACCCACTTTCTTGAAAACAAATCTTTCGTGAAAGCTCCACACTTAAAACAGAAAAAGGGAGCTGCTCTGGTAGAAACTCTGATCACAGCCAGTGCTCCTCAGCACCACCACTCCAGGCCCCTGGGCATTTGCCCCAGAAGAAGGCAGAAGGCTCAGGACTGACAGTATTGTCTTTCATAGCTATTACAAGGCTCTAGCTGTGGCCCTGGGAAAGTGCAATTGGACATTTTAGTTTCTAAAGTAATTTCAGAATTTTTAGAATTTGCAGAAAGGCTGAATAATTTTTCTAGCAATTCAGGTTCTACCCTATTGTTAGTATTCAGGAAAACACTGATTTCCTCAACTGAGATAATTGGGTGTATTTTGGTTGTCAACGGTTAATACCTCCCAAATGTACTTTTAAGGAAAAAAAATGCATTTGATTAGTAAATATCAGCTTTATCACTGAGTCACACTTTGCAAAAGGAGACACTCGCATGTAAAATTTCATTTCTAAGTTGATGCTGAAGCCCAGATTGCTAACTCAGGGAGAATGAAGCTAAACTCACCAACTATCTCTCCGAGGTTTTGAGCCTCAGAGTTGGCTGGGAATCCTCTCTCTCACCACCCTCCATCCAATCAATCAGCAAGTTCTGCTAATTTTAGCTCTTAATTCTGAATTTCCTCCTTGCTTTAATGGATGAATCAGAAGAAAGTGTCATTTTTAGAGCTCAAAAATGGCTGAATACCAGCAAGTCCATGTAGTTCTGTTTACATTACTGCACAAGATCACCATCACCATCCCCCACCTGGGGTACAATGAGGGTCTTTCTGCCGTAGTCCTGCCCCAGTGAAAGGCACCCACCCTCCATCTGGCTGCCAGAGTTACATTTTGGCAAGCTGCGTGAGTGCCTACTCAGTATTCCTTCTCCTCCTTGCTAACAGAACTCTGATTGGGTGTTTGGGGTAGCAATGAGCCTCCCTAAACTTGCTCTCCCAGCCTCCCTTGCTGCTCAGCGTGGTCACCTTACATAGTTGTGTAAATTGTGGGATAACAGAAGAGGACAGAAGCTGCTGACCTAGGCCTTCTGACCTTGAGCTACAGCAGCGGCTCAAACAAAGCACATGATGGCATTAAAACAAACAAAGCATATAATGGTTTTAAACAAAACAATTAATGGTAAATCATGACTTACCCCAGATGATGTTGGGTCACTAAACCAGGTTTCCTCAGGCAATGGAGCCCACCTGCTACATCTTCCTATTCTTTACGAAACGCTAGAAATATGAATATACGAGCCATTAGGAAAATACAAGTATCTTTCTGGGGTGTTCTAACACCTGGGAGAGAGAAAGAGGCGCGAAAAAAACACGCTCTGAATTCACATGGAAGGGGGAGATTTGCTCTGTGCCTTAAATCCTTGGACCTTCCTGATGGCAGCCAAATCTAGGGAGCAGCATCTGGTGGGTACTCACCTGCCTCCCTCCTGCTGCGTGGGCCCCAGCAGCTCCCAGCTTCCCAGTCGGCTTCGGCCAGGCAGGGCGCGGGCTCCTCCGTCTCCTACATAGTTTTACCATGTGATCCAGCAATTGCAGTTCTGGGTATATATCCAAGAGAACTGAAAACATGTTCACATGAATGTTCATAGAAGCATTATTCATAATAGACAAAAAGTAGAAATCCAGATGTTTATCAACTGATAAATGGACAAAAAAAGTGGTATATCCATACAAAGGAATATTATCCTGCTATTAAAAGGATAAAGAATGGATACAGGCTACAAACATGGATGAACTTTGAAAACGTTATGCTAAGTGAAAGAAGCCAGACACCAAAGGCCATGATTCCGTTTATATGAAATGTCCAAAATAGACAAAGCAAGACACAGAAAGCAGGTTAATGGTTGTCAGGGTCTGGTAGAGAGGGGCCGGATGGAGAGTGACTGCTAATGGACATGGGTTTCTTTTTAGGGTGATGAAAATGTTCTAAAATTAGATGGTGATGATGGTTACACAACCTTGTGAATATACTAAGAATCAATGAACTGAGCTTTTTAAATGGGTAAATGATATGGTTATGTGACTTATACCTAAAACCCAAAAAAGAGTAATAACATTGAAAAGGGTCTTTGAACCACTGGGGGAAGAGGGTAAGGGTATACAGGACCTCCTTACACATTTTTTTTGGTAACTTCCTGTGAATCTATAATTATCTCAAAATGTTTTTTACAAAATACTTTGGGAGGGACATTGTCAAAGCTTTTCTGTTCAAGGTACTCTTCATTACTTTGTAGCTATGTTTGATACAACTATAAGGGATCTCACATCTTCTAATAATTATTTTTCCTGTAAGTTCTCATTCAGTTTGCCTTCATTCTTCTCTGCCGAACCCTTCCTCTATACAGACAGCTCTTCTATATTTGAGCTCATACTGTTCAAGTAGTCTTTCAGTTTCTGCCATTCATAAGCACAGCCATTACTTACTTTGCTTTAAAGTATTTGAACAGAGAGCTAAAAAATCTGGAAGACACTAAGGGATGGAAGATAAAACACTTGCTGTGTGTGTCAGAGGTGGTAGGACGCAGAGTGCCTTTACCTGAATGATCGCTGTCCATGACCCTAAAAATGGTCTTCAGGTTGGATCGGTTTTGATACAGTGTTTCCAGGAAACCTGACTGTATGTTCTGCAAGAAAAAACTCATTTTCCTTCTATATCCTATGTTCAGGCTTGTCCTAACATACATTTAACACATAATCCACTGTTAGTGATAATAAGACACTCTTGAAAAAAATCTGAGATGGTTTTACCATCCTTCTCTCCCCACACCCTTCAGCCTACCAAAATCCAGTGGGTCTTGAGGAACCTAGCGAGTGATGAAAACTCGGACTCACCGTGGTGATGGGTGCACTCATCTGTGAATAAAGTAAAAACTATTGAACTGTGTACTTTAAATGGATGAATTGTATGGGATGTGAATTATATTGCAATAAAGTTGTTAAAGAAAGGTACCTAGCCCAAGACCTCATACACATTACACATTCATTAAGCATTTACTGAATTATTTATTTATTTTTCTAATGGGGGAAGCAGAACCGTGTCAAGGATGTCAGATAGACAGTTTGAATCCTAGTTCTACAGCCTGGAAGCTCTGTGACCCCAGCTACTTGACTAAACCTCTCTCAGCAGTGTCCCCATAGATATAATGGTACTGCTAATACCTACCTTTTGGGTCATTTTGAGAATAAACTGAGGTAACATACATAAATCACTTAACACAAAGTCTGACACATAGAAACTCAATAAATTGTTGTTCTCTTTTCTCATCCATCTGCTCTTTTGGGTTCTCAATATTTGGTTGTTTCTGACTCAGAATTCTTTCCACAAAGGGCTTCATAGTCCACAGTAAACCTTGATCCATCATTTTCACACCATTACCGCATGGCCCAGTTGTTCTCTGGCTGAGTCCTCCAGCCAGGACTTGTACTTCAGCACGTTACTGTTGAGCTGCTCGCCAGCTGCGGCTTCAGCATCCTCAGCAGTCTCAGGTGTGACACAGACTCCACGGTGGCTGCCCAGTCGCCAAGGGAGATGAAACCTGCGGGAAAGAGCTAACTTGTAGACTTGTCACTTGCAAGGCTAGCTTCCTGCCCAAGAATGCAAACCTTCTTATTCCAACATCCTTCTTATCTGTAGGCAGTGGAAGTAATGAGCATGGTCACTACTTTGATTGGTCATGGCAGAGTTGGTTGGAAAAGATGGTTGCCAGAAAAAATACAGGATGCCCAGTTCACTTGGAATTTCAGACAGACCACAAACTGTAAGTATAGCCCAAATATTGCATGGGATATATTTATATTTAAAAAGTATTTGTTATTAGTCTATATTTATAATTGGATTTGATGAGGCATCCTGTTTTATTTGCTAAATCTGGCAACAGTATTCGAAGTCATACTAGTAATGTAAATAATATCATAAAACATACATATACATCATTGGTTGTTAATGTGTAGTTGGAAAGATATTGCTATGAATTATGACTATTACTGCTATTTCTTTTTTTTGGCAAATAAAATATACATATTTATGTGTACAACTTATATAGAGATATTGCTATTTCTTAATAGAGCTGTATGTGGTCAATGACAATTAGACATTCCATTGAGTTGAACAAAGACAAAATTTCTTCTTGCGTAACAGAGCACAGAACAAATAAGCACACACTTAACAAGAAGCCAAATCACTGATGTTGGGCAAATTTTGGGTGCATTCTTGAAACCTCCCCACCTGCTGTTTTTTGCCTAATTCTGTCCTTGCTACCCTTTCCTCCACTCCATTCCTTTTACCATCTCCATCTGTATCTACCAAATTCAGAGTCTGTTAAAAGCCTTGACTTTAAAATTTAGAAAGATAACTGGGTCGGTCATCCTGTTGAATAAAATGGAGGAACAAGTCAAAGATGTCTTCTGGTAACTAGTTCAATGTATTTATTTGATAACTACAGTGTGACACTGTGGCCAGCTTCCTTCCTCTATGTATATTCTACTTGATCGGTCTTACCAGTCTTGTCTGCATCATGCTTCTTAAATTCAACAAAAAGATCTGAGGAATAAGCAAACAGCTTTTCCCACCAAGCTCTCAGAGCTGACTCCTCTACTCTGCTAATCCAGGGACAGAAGATGGAAGCAAGCATTTGTACATTAGCATAGAGGAAGTAGTCATGGGGTTTTACTACATTTCTCCTCTCTCTTAATGTCTCAAGCTTCCTGGAGCTCAGTTTTTGAGGGAAGAGCTCCATATCTTATTTCCCCCCATTGCTCCCACACTTCTCCCTGTAGTGTACACACAGGACCTGTTTGGAGAACACTGCTGTCCTCTCCAGGGTAGGACAGTGGCTAGAGCAGAAGTTTAGGAGAAAGACCACCTTTGTGGTAAAGTTACGAGGCTGCACTGTACCTCAGTTCTCCCATCTGCAAGTAATATTAGATGCTTCCGTCCCAGGAAGAAAAGAACATTGTTGACCCATGTGAACCCTGAAATCCATTTGCCAAATCCCCAGAAAGCAAAAGAACCTGTGGCTGTGGCTTATGGGGTGACACCAACCCTTTAAAGATGAGTGAAAACAGAGGAGAGACCCAGGAAAGGTTTAGTGGCCTGTATGAGGACTTCACCCAGCATGCACCCACTGAGGGTCATTTCTGCAGGAGGCAAATTTGTTGCTTCTGAGAATGATGGGTAGGTGAGATCTCAGAGTGTATGGAGGAGGAGACCCCGCCACAGAGTCTGTTCTAGACCTTACTGCCGACCTAGCTGCACTTTGAATTATAACTTACAATTTGGATAAACATAATGGCATTTGACACTTCAAATGTTCTAAAACACTAATTCTGTTTCTCTGAAAATCATTCATTGAAAAGTCTTGCCTTTGCCTCATGGTTAGCATATGGGTTGCCTTGTCAGCTTGATACTGCACAATGTGGGGGTCAGGGCCGGCCCCAGTCTGACACAGGCCTCTCTGTTGCTGCCAACTTCATAGTAACTGGAGCAGAAAAGATGGCTAACACCGAAATCCAAACAGAGGGAGGTGGGCATTCAGGGTCACAGAAGAACAGTTCCCCTTCAATCCTGTAGGGCCCAGCCCATTTTGAGGGGCTGCTCTTCCTCCTTAACCTCACCTGTGGATCATTTTTTAAAGTCATGAATGCCGTAGGGTAGGAGTTGTGACTCAAGTAATAAAAACTTGAATTCTGATATGACATCTGCAATGTGTTTTCTTCATATTTTTATCCCAAGTAAAAATAGCAGGAGTCATAGGAAACACTTCGTTTGGTTCAGTTTAGAGGCAAGCTGGGTCTCACTCACTGGGGTGGCCACCACAGCCAGCAGGCAAACCAGTTATTACAGCTGGTGTGAGACCCCAAAGCAGACTTTCCTACACAGTGCTGTGCCTCCTGACATGCTCTGGGAAAAAGGTTCCCTTGTCAATACACTGGGAAATGCTAGACATTATATCTCATCATGGAGATTTACAATGAATATAGGAAACTAAAGATTCTCTCAGGTCCTGCATTAGAGAAACCTGTATAACCTTTTAACCAAATGTTAAATGCTTACATTCATTGATCTCAAATCATGCTTACATGTACATGCTTACATCAAGCTCAATGAATTCTTACATTCATTGATCTCAAACATTTTTCCCCATGTGGAGCCAGGTATTTTCCTGCAGGTTAATTTTCCTGGCAATATTCTCATCCTAGTAGCATTAGGCTAGGCAAACAGTGTAGAATGTGAAGATGCCCAAAAATTAGTAGGGACATTAGAGCTCCTGGAAGACAATCTTGAATCCCTGCCCGGGGCAGAGCAGAAATTCTGGTAGCCGGTGGTGCTGTCTGAAACCCATGATGGCACAGCAAGCAACGGGACTCAGAGAACAGAGACACACTGGGAAACCTGTGGGCCATGTTTCCATCCATGACTCAGACCATAGCGGCCCCTTACTTTCCCTTCAGGGTATTGGTGAGTGATGGCCTCAATCAAATTTTGAGTTTTAAAGGGGCTGTAAATGACTGTGAAGAACCCAGTTGCTCTGGGCAAGAGAACAATAAACACAAGACTCGGCTAATTATGTGACGAGGGCTGAGCCCATCCAGGCCCCAGAGGAGCAACATGGGCCACTCTTATGCCATCGCAGAGGGTCACCCACCTTGCGGCCATGGCAGACTTCACAGCCTTCGGGTTTGCACTCATGTGAGCAAATCAAGAATTGCAGGTTGTATTTCTGTAACAACTGCTCTGTCACATTAGGTCCAAAGAAATAGCCCCTCCTCGAATAGTGTTGGCCTTGCAGCCCTCCTGGGCCATGGGGCCACTCCACAATATATCTATGACTTGGAGAGACCGAGAGATGGTTTCTTTCTAAAGTCTAGATAAACATTCAGAGTCATTCCTATGAAAAGAGGAAGCAGGAGAAAAGGAGAGGAGGAGGAGGACAGGAAGAAGAAGATGAAAATGTGTGAATAAATATCCATGCAATCAGTATTTAACATACAATTATATTTTGGACCCCTGAGGTTCCAGAATTTGTTATTACTCACAAAGAGAGCATGCATATGTGCATACTGTTTGATAACTATATACCCACTTTCTTGAAAACAAATCTTTCGTGAAAGCTCCACACTTAAAACAGAAAAAGGGAGCTGCTCTGGTAGAAACTCTGATCACAGCCAGTGCTCCTCAGCACCACCACTCCAGGCCCCTGGGCATTTGCCCCAGAAGAAGGCAGAAGGCTCAGGACTGACAGTATTGTCTTTCATAGCTATTACAAGGCTCTAGCTGTGGCCCTGGGAAAGTGCAATTGGACATTTTAGTTTCTAAAGTAATTTCAGAATTTTTAGAATTTGCAGAAAGGCTGAATAATTTTTCTAGCAATTCAGGTTCTACCCTATTGTTAGTATTCAGGAAAACACTGATTTCCTCAACTGAGATAATTGGGTGTATTTTGGTTGTCAACGGTTAATACCTCCCAAATGTACTTTTAAGGAAAAAAAATGCATTTGATTAGTAAATATCAGCTTTATCACTGAGTCACACTTTGCAAAAGGAGACACTCGCATGTAAAATTTCATTTCTAAGTTGATGCTGAAGCCCAGATTGCTAACTCAGGGAGAATGAAGCTAAACTCACCAACTATCTCTCCGAGGTTTTGAGCCTCAGAGTTGGCTGGGAATCCTCTCTCTCACCACCCTCCATCCAATCAATCAGCAAGTTCTGCTAATTTTAGCTCTTAATTCTGAATTTCCTCCTTGCTTTAATGGATGAATCAGAAGAAAGTGTCATTTTTAGAGCTCAAAAATGGCTGAATACCAGCAAGTCCATGTAGTTCTGTTTACATTACTGCACAAGATCACCATCACCATCCCCCACCTGGGGTACAATGAGGGTCTTTCTGCCGTAGTCCTGCCCCAGTGAAAGGCACCCACCCTCCATCTGGCTGCCAGAGTTACATTTTGGCAAGCTGCGTGAGTGCCTACTCAGTATTCCTTCTCCTCCTTGCTAACAGAACTCTGATTGGGTGTTTGGGGTAGCAATGAGCCTCCCTAAACTTGCTCTCCCAGCCTCCCTTGCTGCTCAGCGTGGTCACCTTACATAGTTGTGTAAATTGTGGGATAACAGAAGAGGACAGAAGCTGCTGACCTAGGCCTTCTGACCTTGAGCTACAGCAGCGGCTCAAACAAAGCACATGATGGCATTAAAACAAACAAAGCATATAATGGTTTTAAACAAAACAATTAATGGTAAATCATGACTTACCCCAGATGATGTTGGGTCACTAAACCAGGTTTCCTCAGGCAATGGAGCCCACCTGCTACATCTTCCTATTCTTTACGAAACGCTAGAAATATGAATATACGAGCCATTAGGAAAATACAAGTATCTTTCTGGGGTGTTCTAACACCTGGGAGAGAGAAAGAGGCGCGAAAAAAACACGCTCTGAATTCACATGGAAGGGGGAGATTTGCTCTGTGCCTTAAATCCTTGGACCTTCCTGATGGCAGCCAAATCTAGGGAGCAGCATCTGGTGGGTACTCACCTGCCTCCCTCCTGCTGCGTGGGCCCCAGCAGCTCCCAGCTTCCCAGTCGGCTTCGGCCAGGCAGGGCGCGGGCTCCTCCGTCTCCTGGATCTCGGGAGGCCGGCTCGCTGTCCGCACCCGTGCGGCCCAAGGTCCATCGAGCGGCGTGCCCTGGGGACAACGACCTGGGTCAGGAGACCCTGCAGGAGCACCCCGCTTTTTGGGACTGGAGGCCGCCCCCGCGAAGCGGCGAGACAGGGAGAGAGAGAGCGGCTTTGCGAGGGTAGCAGCGGCGGGGGGGTTGGGGGGGGTCGCCCTGGGGAAGCGGCTGTCTAAGCTGTTCCCTTCTCCGCCAGCTTCATCTCCTTTCTCGTTTTGCTCCTCATGGTAGAAACCATGTAAAAATGGCCAGAAAAGATACAGATGCTGGAATGGCGCCGGCGGGCCTTTCTGAGGAGCACTGGCATCCAGGGGCCACAGGCAAGCACGGTCTGCGAATGCTTCGCCCTGGCCGCGCCAGAGAAGCCCAGAAGGTGGGGACTTTCACGGCAAGTTGCTACTGCCCAGAAGGTGGGGACTTTCACGGCAAGTTGCTACTGCTCCGACAGTCAAGCTCAGCGTCGGAGGGCTTACATTTTTTGTCTGTCTTTCATTTTTCTAGTAGTTCATCTATCTTGTATTTGGCAAAAGTGTTGATCTGTGCAAATTGGAAATTTATAAAACCTGGTCCTCCACCCCGGATGATTTGAGAAATACTAACCTAGGTCATTGCTCCCTCCAGGAGTTACTGATTTTCAGACAAGGATGGGAAAGCACACCTTTCTCTCTGGGGGACCAGCCCTTACTGACGTCCCTGTTGGTGCACAGAGGCCAAAGCAAAGGGGAAGAAATGCAACTCACAGGTGGGAAATGTTGGAACAGGAAAATCTTGATGCTTGCTGTGGGGGAGGCAGCGCTCGGTGGCATTGTACAGGATGTTCTGTCTTGCCTGGTGAGTAAGACAGGGCAGGGAAGGGAGCGCCTCTCTTCAGCCTGGACCTGTCAGGAAGATACCCTTCTTGCCAAAGGGACTGAGTGTGTTCCCCCTCGCCGACTCAGGGTCCTCATGGTGCTGTGACCAGGCACGATGGACACTATATACAAGCTGGAGGAATTCTGATCACAGGACAAGAGGGGTCAGCCACAGAGCAGAGCCGAGGCATGGAGCAGCCACTCATGCATGATGTATCTGAGTGCCACAGTGAAAACTGAGGGACACCACTTCCACAAGAGCATCAACAATACCTATCTGTGTCTCCAAGGAGACTGTGCCAGTGCATAATCAAAGAATGGGAACCTTCTGCAAACACATACAAGGCCCGTGGCACAAGAAAGCCATGTCCTGGTGTGGACTGGCTTAGAGCAAGAACAAAGAAGGACACTCAGCGAGGGTCAGCAGAACCTGAAGGATGTCAGGAGAGGAATCCAGATGAACAGAATAGAAAGGAATGCAAACTCTAAGTTTGCACAAGTGGTAGTTATTTCCTAGACAGTTCCAGCCCTGGGCATAGAGGTGAGAGGCCATAAAATGTGCCGGAACTCACAACCACCTCTTTCCCTCCTCATTGTCAACTCTCAGTAAGGGCCAGACCAACAGTCCCACATCTTTCAACCCTCAGGTAACTTTAGTTTAAAGATGTTACCCGCTCCAAGAGGCATCCCTAACTTTGATTCTTAAGGAAAATAATAGTGTTAATAGGTATTGAGCCCTTTCCAAATAGGTGCTATTCTGGGCACTTTACAGGAATTCATTGGTTAGCCCTCGGGCCACCCCTATGAGGTAGCATTCTCATTTACAGTTTCACATGAATTAATTGATTAGCCTCAAACTGCCATGAAATAGTGTCCTCATTTGTAGTACAGATAAGAAACTTGAGGTATAGATACTAAATCTGTACCAGGTATAGATATTAAACCTGAATCCAGGTATCTGAGTCTATAGCCCATACTTCTCTGTGCTTCCCTCCCAAGTGGTCTCTGGACTCTGTGAGTCACTGTACCAACCTCTCCCTAGAGCTTTGCAAACCAGCTATTGGGAAGTCAGTTTTTTTGCTCAGTGACAGAAAAAAAACTGTTCTTTAGCATTCTTTCCCAAAGTCCCTGCTTCTGGGTTTACAGTATTAAATGTGATTTTTCCCAGGAGAGATAACTTGCTGCATCATGATTTACTCTCTCTTCTTCCAGACATTGATGCAGCTGAATGGAATGTTGGCATTGAAAATAAATAAATAAATAAATGAGATGCCAGGCAACATGTGGAATTGAAAAAGGAAGTACCAAGAGCTGGTTTTAGGTGCCTTGGGCCCCTCTCTCTGTCAAGAACGTGAAAGGGTTGAGATTATGCAGAGGTAGGGGGCAGATTTTATAATGAGGATCTGGGGAGAGAGCTATTGAAAATGTTATGGCCTTCCCTCCCACCTCTGTCTCTGCCAAGGAGTTATCCTTCCCTCCCGACACAGGTTGGGTGTGCAGGGACACATGACTTGCCTTTCAGTCACCAGACCACCAGGAGCCATAGCCTGACCTGTTGATAGGATTTGAATACAGAAACCTTGGACTTTGAACTGGATTCAACTGGATGAGACCTGAATGTAGACTTCCTCAGGGAGGGGATGACCATGGGTCTGTGCACAGGAAGAAGGGAGTGCGTGGAAATCTGGGGAGCTACAAGGGCAGAGTAGGGCAGAGTGTTGCTACCCCAACATCTGTCTACTCTTCTTCCTTAGTAATAGAAACCCAGATTCTTACAAGCACCATCTAGAATGAAGATTACACTTTCCAAACTGCCTTTTGGTTAAGTGTTGACTTATGACAAAGTTCTGAACAGAAATATGAACAGAAATTTTGTGTACAACAGAATGTCCTTAAAGAGAAAAAACATGTCTTTCTTCTCTTCTCTAATTTATGCTGTCTAGAATGTGGTCATGATGGCTGGAGCACAGATAGTCATGTTGGGCCATGATGCAACATGGTAGAGCAATAAGAAAGCAGGTATCTGGGTCTCTAATGAATTTGTGGTGTCACTATACCAGGCCTGGACTGCTTGCCTGCAGTTTTTATTTACACAAGAAAGAAACAAACATTAAGCCACTGTTATTTGCAATTTTCTGTCACTTTAACCAAATGTAGTTAATACTATTCCCACTTATTGAGTACAAATTTTTGAAGGCACATGCACATGTTATTTTCATTTAATCCTCACATCTGTGATATAGTTATTTATAGCCCTATTGTATAGATTTAGAAACTGAGGTTACATTAAGTTAAATAACTTGTTAAGGTCACATAACTGTTAAGTAGCAGAACCAGAATTTTTATCCATTTCTATAGGCCATCAGTTAACCACTCATCATATTTGCTCATGGGAAAAAGGATATACTTACACATTTCAATATCTGTGTAGCAGAGAGTACCATTCCCCCAAGTTCATTTTCCCCTTTTCTGCCAAAGGAATGAAACCCCCAAATTTGTGCTAATTTGTGCTAGGTATATGGCCAAACAGAAAGAGTGCATTTCCAGCCTCCCTTCCAGTGAGGTGTACTCATGGAGCTACATTCTAAACTAAGGGGTAGAGCAGATGTATGCAACTTCTTCACTGTGTCCTTAAAGGGCAGGAATATTTTTCCTCCTTTCCTTCTTCTATCATATTGCTTGGAACATAGATGTGGTGGCAAGTCATCTTGGGCCATGCAGATGCGGGCATGGAAGTCACACCCTAAGGATGGCAGAATACAAGACATAAGAAGCCTTGGTCCCTGAACAACCTAATGGAACAAAGCTGCCATAACAGCCAAGAACTGCATATTCCAAGATTCAAACCCAGTATGATTCTAAAGCCATGCTCTTTCATTTCTGTGTCATCTAACATAGATTTTTACATTGGAGTTGCCAGAGTAGACTGGCATGTGTAGTAATGAGTTCTGTCTTTGGAACTGTGCAGGCAAATGTCAAGGATGCTATAATAGGTATTCCTGTGTGTGATGGGCAGTTGGAATAGAGAAGCCATAAGATACCATTCAAGTGTAAGCATCTATGATTAAAAGAAAATAGAATCTTTGCTTTCTATGTTTCTACTTCCACAATGGAACAGGAAATAAGAGACTTATGACTATTAGAGTATGCTTTGTCTCTCACTCTCCCCCTCCTCCTGCAGGTTATTGTAAGTTCCTTTAGACACCACCTCTAGTTATCTTTGTATCTACACTAGCACTTTCCTTGCACAAATAAGCCCTTAAAACAAAGTTGGTGAGTCTAATTTCTTCAACTTTGTATCTGCAATAGCATCCCCCCTGCTTGAAGTAAACCCAATGAGTTTAATTGAAGATTAACTGAATTATTAGGGAAATAGAGGCTTTTCAGGTGACTGATGATTGAGGGGTAGGGATTAGAATTGCTTAGATCAGGGATGGCAAAGAGATGGCACTGGCTACTGCTACCACTGTCATGCCCACGGCTAATCTCAGTGATCCTTCTCCTTTCAATGGTGTAGTGCTTTCTTTTTAACAGCCCTTATTAGTCATTTGGGGTCAGCACACAAGCTGACATTTATTTTATGTTGGCAGTGAAACTGGGCATTATGGTGAAATTTGCACTCTTTCATTACTTGGTCTATACCTTGAACCTGTCTAGTTTAGCCAAAAGCTCCAGGTCAGTCATGTCTGCCACTCCACCATGAAGAATCAGGACTTTCTCGTCAACCAGAGTGGCCAGCGGAAGCCAACAGAAATCATCTTGCCATATTTTCAGTATTTTCTAGCCATGTGTCTGAAAAATGGCATTAAGATAATGTCTCTACTGAATCCTTGCCTCGATCCACGAAGTCACTGTTGAAGATATAAGTCCTCTCTGTCATGTGTATGAAAAATGACATCATTAAGTTGCCAATGATAAACTCAACATACCTGAACAAGAGAAACTTGCTCTGAAAGGGAGCACACCTTATATTCAGCATCACTTCCTTGGTGAAGACATAGCTAGATTTAGAGGCAAAAACCAATAATTTAATGACAATAGTTATGGCATGATTGCATTTTTATAAACATGCATGTTCTATATACATGTACTTAAATATATAGAAAAGAGACTGAGAAATAATCACCCAAGTGTAACTATCTATAGGTAGAGAAGTAAAATTAAAATTTTAATTTTATTCATTTCCTTACCAGTATTTATTATTTTTTCTATAGGAAACCTTCATTTTTATATGATAAAGAGTGTAGATAAGTGGAAAAAAATTTTAGTGGTTTTATTAGAATAGTAAGATAATATGTAGTTTCATAAAATATCTTTTAAAATGTTACATGTTGTATATTCCACTTTATAAAATTGGAAAACTACTTAAAAAGGCATCTAACAAGTAAGAAGCTCAGACATAATAACTTTTTGTAATGACAGGTCAACACCAAACACCCAAGCATGGTTTGTACTGTTGGTTCACCATAGGATTCTCATGGTTTCCTTGGTTAAAATGGAACTCTTTTGGGTAAACCAACATTAAGGCAAAGAGAATCATCAGGATCTCTACTGAGTCCTTGCCTCGATCCACGAAGTCACTGTTGAAGACATAGGTCCTCTCTGGTGACGGGAGGACATTCTTCCCAAAGAGAAGACAAATCCACGAAGAGGCAGTGAAGGAAGGAAATAGGAAATCAGTAAAAGCCAGTGTGCATTTGACAGTCACATCAGATCTAATGCCAATTTTGTGCTTTCTGGCTCTCCTCCCAACATGAAATGTCAGTAAAAGATGGAAATATATGCTACTGGTCTTATATTTCCTTTTCCTGTTCATCATGAAAGGATGAGGTTATGACATGCTCGTCAAATGCTTTATATGAAGCCAGAGTGTTTGCCACGCCATGTGGTATATGCACGAAGGGCACTGAACTTGTGATCCAAAGGCCAGCTTTTAGTTCCAGCCACACTATCTTTAACTAGTGATAATAACAATAGCTGCCATAGGTTCCTCAGGACTAAATAAGACAATACATGGGAAAATGCTTCAGGAAGCAGAGTATGTATGTAGGCAGTAATAGTACATTAAGAGAATATTCATGTATGTTGCTACATGCTTGACATTTATAACTAAAAATGGATATGAAGAGAGCTTTTAGTTGCTTTGAGATAAACAATTTTTTTATTAACCCCAAATTTTTTATTTTTTAAACAGTTTACAAAAATATACTAGAACATAATACAGTGCTGTTATATTTTGTATTTGCTGCATAGCAGCAAATAGTATTTTACAATAATACTTTTAAAATCCAAGCAATACTTAAACATTTGTTTAATAGATATTGTAATGTATTTGAACTTCTAAATTAAGCCTCAGAGTAAGACAGGGTCTTAATTTGAACATTCATACCTTATAAAATAAAAATATTAAGTCATCAAGCTGGCTGTGTAAATCTCCTAACCAAGAGAAAGGATATCAATTTCAACTGGTCCTTACCATTGTTCCTTATTTTTATTCTGAGAAGGAAAATACCCAGAAAAATCTGACAAAGTTAAGAAATTTATGGCTACTCATTTTTCCATATGTGAGAGAGGGATAAACATTAATTTCCTTTGTTGTAGCGATAGTTAATATTGAAAGCAGAAAACACAATGTTTTTCTGTGTGATTAGCATCAATAGTAAACAACCAATATTTTTAATGAAACAAAGATGGAACAGAATAATGCGGGGCTGTGAATGCAGATGAGAATGGGAGAGATTTTGCCTGATCTAAAGTAGGAACCAGCTACTCACTTATGGGCTACTGTTATGAGAGTTTTCAAGAGAGGCTGGAAATCTGGATTTTAATATGAAATCCTCCAATTTACAAATGTTGGAAACTAATTTTAACAATTTAAGAACATTTCAGGGTAAACAAGTCCTACCCACAGGCTGCATGTGGCCCTCAGGGCCAGTTTCCAATCCCTGATGTGTTAAGGTCAGCCTCCCCTAAGATAAGGCACGGTGCGCCCGTCTACAGTGGATGCTTAGCATCACTGAAAAACATAAGGGGATGTTTTCATCATCAACAGGATTTCTCTCTGGGACGAAAATATAGGTGGATGGAAGGAATAATTCATGAGGCACTGGGGCCTGCTTATTTGCAGGGATTTTGTTTTGAATGGAGAGCATGAGTTTGAGGTCACATATGAATTGCTTGGGAAAATAAAGCAGAGGCTGGGCTCATTCACCCCACAGTTCTTCACTGCACCAACACTGCTTCAAATAAACATGGAGAGAATATATGAACGCTCTCAGCAAGTTGCCATCACATCTCCCTCCAGCCCTGCCTTTCCTCCTCCCCCAGCATGGGCAGAGTCTTTTTGTTCGTGTCCACCATATAAGTGGTTTCTGGCCAGCTCTTACCACACACTGTGATCTCCTCACTGTAACAGGTGGGGACACGATTGATGTTGGGCAGTTGTACCATATGTTTCCTGGTTTTGTCCAAAAGATTCCAGACGTAGCAAGCATGGAGCTGCTACTAGGAGGAAGAGGCGGGAGGGGGCCAAACAACACTGATATTCGTGAGGGAGGATGGCCCCTCCCCTTTACTGCTTAAGGACCCCAATCACACAAGACCCCAAAAGTGACCCTAGTAAACTGCCCTGGGACCCTATGCCTGGATCCTTCCTTTTCACCTATGTTCTACCCTTGCTATCTACTCCATGAAAGCCATTCTTGCCTTTAGCTTTGAAGAAAATCTGAGTTAAATATGGGCTTAACTGAGCTCCTGGGCCTGAAGGTGCCACTGGTGATGAACAGAGGAACTGTGGGTAAAGCTGGATTAAAAAGGAAACTGCAGGGTCGCTCAGGTCAGCCTCAGGAACAGCAGATGGATCCATTAACTGGATTCAGCTTGCCTTAGAGAGCTAGTAGAATTCTTGCTGATTTCCCTAACAGGAAAAATGATGCTGGAGTGGGAAAAAGAAGAACCTGGGAGGAATTTAAGCAAAGCTGAATTTGATCTCTCAGGAGAAAACAATGTCATCCTGTAAGTTCTTTTCAAAGCACTTACCAAATAGTAAGTAGTTCTACTGACTCCCCACCGATTGAGTTCTGTAAATCCATGTTCAGAACAGTGAACGGAATGCCCAGAGCAAGCCCTACAGATTCAGGAACTCACGGGAAACTCACAGCTATCTGGACCTCGCCCTAGACCTACATACAGTATCCCAGAACCTACAGGGAACCCAGGGATCTGCTGACCTAACAAGCTCCACGCATGATTCTTACGTTTGCTGAGTGTATGCAACACTGGGGAGTATCATGGCCATTAAGGTTCTGTGAAAATGTTGTTTATGAACACCTTCCCTCAACATTTTAAGGCAAGTGCGGCCAGCTAGACATACTTATGTCCTCAGTCCTGCTTGGATATTTAGGGCAGGGAGAGCAGGCAATGGCCATTTCCTCCTCATTTTCTCCCTCCCAGTCCCCTACTGGGCTTCGGATACCTTTAATTGAGATGGGTGTTGTGAGGTGCAGGATTATTAAAGACCTTGTACCCTATCCTCCCTTACCAACAGCACAAAACAACATGTTGGTGCCTCTTGCTCCTGCCTTGTCTGGGCTACATCCAAGGGTACACGTCACAAACACACCCGGCTGTGAAAGCTCCATATTAAGAACAAGGCAACCGCATGGGGAGAGGGGAGGCCAAGGGGAGTCAAGGCACGAGAACCCCGAGTAAAGAAATTTCTTAGAAGTCCGTCCTCCAGCCCCACCCTGAGGGTCTTAGGCAAGCCACCCAATTGGGCCTTTTGCAAATTCCTGACCCACAAAATTATGAGCGGACTGAAAGAGTTGTCTTAAGTCACCCAGTTTTGGGACAGTTCATTATCTAGCACTAGATAACTGAGACAGGAATTGTATAAATGCTTTACAAAATTATAAAATGAATTTAAATCAAAATTAAAAAAACAAATTCTCTAAAAATCAAGACCAAAAATTAAACACGTGAAAAAAGGAGTTATAAGTAAATTTTAACACCAAGTCCTAAGATTTTCAGCTGAGCACTCTGGTGGTGGTCACAGCAAAAAGGAGAAGCTGATTTTCAAGAGTTGCCTGAGTAAAAATGTAATGGTTTCCTGCTTCTATCCAGAGAAAACCTTCCCTGTGCAGAATAGGCTTTGGGGTACCCACACGCTAATTTGGGAGGTGGGAAACACATACCTTTCTCTGCATTCTGGAAAGCAAAATGATGTTGGGTTGAGGTGCTGCTTCCCATAGTGTAAGTGTGATGTTTCTGCAGGATGCAGATGGCAGGTTCAAGGGAGAGTAAATTGCTGACAAAAGAAGAGGGAATCTGAAAGAGAGAGAGATGCAGGCAGATTATTAGTTCAAGTAGACCAAATTATCCATGGTCTTTGTCTCCCCCATCATAAAACACATGAGACTATCATGTGAGAGCACCCTCCCCACCCCTCCAGTCTCAGGGCATGAGGTGTCCCTCCCCTGAAAACGCCTCCATTCACCGTCTCATATCTCTCCTGTTTTCAGTCCTTCTGTTAGCTTTTCTTTTCAGTTTGGAAAACATACTGAAGTCTCTTCTCTTATAATCTCGAAGCAATTCATCTTCTTCATCACCATCACCTTTTGACCTCCTATATCTCTCTGGCTGTAAGCCAACTCCTCTTTTCTTCTCATGTAGATTTCTCTCAAGAGTAAACTATGTTATTTTCTCTTTAATTCACTATAAACTACTTTTGCATCCTCACTATTGACCCCTGCCTACCATGCAAATGTCTCTAATCCTTTCCTCTTGTCAGTCCTTATTTGGCCGGAATGGTGAGGCAACCTGTCGCCCCAAGTCATACCTTGATTAAAATCCTATTCCCTGGGCTTCCTTGGTGCCAGACTCCCTTGGATCTTCTCCTACCTCTGACTATTCTCTATCCTTTTTGAGCTCATTTCCCCCTGTCTACCCCTCAAATGTCGCTTTTTATTTGTATTCTAGTTTCAAATGCCAGCTCTCCTCACTCTGTACATACCCCCAGGAAAATCTAATCAGCCCTCATATTTTCAACTATCACTTCCACCTCTCAAATCTACACTTCCATCCCAAACCACCCCTAAACATCAGCCCCATATTCCCAGCCTTCTGCTAAATTTTCACTGGGGTGCCTCAAATTCCATGTATCACAAAACAAAAACAACTCATCTCTTCAGAAGCCTACTCCTCCAGACTCATTTCTCTTCTCTCCTTTCTTCAAACTCTACTCTGACCACCATCACCTTTGCATTTTTTACCTTACCTGGCATATTTTTCCTGTCTCACCCTTCTTGACTTGGCTAACTTTACTCATTCCTTAAGGCTCACTTTAGGAATCACCTTCCTTAAAGAAGCCAGTTTGACATGCCCCTCCTCTGAGCTCCTGCATGTCCTATTCACATCTCCCTCACTGCAATACCATATTAGAGTTTCCCATTTTGTGTCTCTCTACCTTTAGGCTGTGGGTTCCTTGAGAGCAAAGACCGTGTGAGCAAATTCATCACTTTATCTCCAGAACTTACAGCACAGTGTGTGACACATAGTAGGGATTCAGTAAATATTCCCTGAATAAACTATATGCCGTATTTATTTTACACAGCAAAGATGAATCCTTTTCTAGCTCTTCTTCAGGAAGCAATGTGAGATGTACTGACAATGCTGAAAATGGATTCCACTCTGTATGTTTCGCCTCTCCCACTTTTACCCTGCTCTACTTCCTCTGTTTTTGAAGATTACTGTCTTGGGGATTGTCAAGGAGTTACTATCTTTTCCTTTGCAAATCAAATGAAAGACTTGCCTTGCTTATGTTGGTTAGCTTTTTAAAAATAGTTAAAGAAAGAAGACTACAATCTCTTTTTTGTGTGCAAAATGATCCCAGATATAAGAGACGTAGCATAACCAGATCTGAGTGTGGGTGAAGTGAGAAGCCATCATGAGCAAACCAACTCCACTGAAACCTAGCTGCCTGCATGGTTTCAGAGCTGAAAGGGATGCCAGCAATGGCTGAGTCCACCAATGACTCACTGACAACTTGTTTTGACAATTGGTAGGTTGCACAGATGTGCATGAGATCTTCTCACTAGATCTTGGCCACTTAACTTCTCATTGACTCAGTTTTCTTATCTATGTTTCTTCAAGAATAATAAATAATATATTTTTAATGCCCTCAGTAGATAGTAGAACCTCAGTATATATTGATGGACTGAATCTGATATGTTTATTTTAAAATATCAGTAAACAAAAACATGTCCCTGGCTCAAATTTAGGAAGTAGTAAAAGACATACTATCTCAATGCAGCATTGTTATAAACTGAATGTGTCCCCCCAAAATCCATGTGTTGAAGCCCTAGCTCCCCTAGGTGGGGCCTTTGGGAGGTAATCAGGTGTAGATGAGGTCATGAGGGTGGAGCCGCATGATGGATTATTCTCTTTCTTTCTCTGCACCATGTGAGGACACAGAGAAAAAACGGTAGGCGTCTGCAAGCCAAGAAGAGGGCCCTCACCGAGAAGCAAATCTGCTGGCCTCTTGATCCTGGACTACTTGGTCTCAGATACAGAAAAAAGTGTCTGTTGTTTATGCCACCCAGTCTATGGTATTTTGTATAACAATCCTAGCAGATGAAGAGAAGCATAAACCATTGGGGTGGATACCACATCAAAAATTGTTATTATTAAATAAGTCCTCTTTTGCCCTTCAGGCACTTTGTTTTTATGAGCTTATAGATCCAGAAATGGTGGCAGAATAAGACAAGCTTGTCAGTCATCCACCCCATAGAAAAGACACTGGAGATAGAAATATGACACTGCATATACAGTGAGGAAATAGTAAGTATCATGGGCCAATAAACTATTTGAAACAACCTCTAGGGGTGAAAGAAATGAAGTCTTTCATCAGGCAGCACATCCAGTTGGAACTAACTCTGGGTCACAGAGAACAAAAGGGATGTGCTTTCATATATCATGTAGAAGAGGGGGCACCCAGCTGTCACTATGATAGCAAGGATGCACATGACCCCTGCCTTGGGGGTGTGTGGCCTCATCTGTTTCTCTGTTGTGTGTGGATTAGTGGTAACTTTATTTTAGGGTTGTGATGAGGATGAAATGAGGTGATACATGAGGATGACCTTGCAAATGTTTATCACTGTTATGAAAATCATGATAATTTTGATGAGGACCTTTCTTAAATGGCACTCTCAGAAATCTTTTAAAATGTTTCTCCCTGCAAACTAACGAGCACCTTAAGTATTTATCAGTTCAGAATTAACAGAATACATCATGGTATGTTAAAAACAATGGAATAGTGTTCAGCCAAGACAAAGAATGAGGCAAGTTTGTATATAACAGTATGAAAATATCCCCAAGATATATTGTTACATAAAAAAAAACAAATTTTACAACAGTATGCTTAATATGATCTCATCTATATAAAAAAATGGTAACTGTATAATCAAAGAACACACACCAAACTTAAAAGTGGTTACCATTGGAGAATGGGATTGCGTGACTTTCATTTTTAATTTACATAGTTATAACTTTCATAATTAAAAATCAATTATATTTTTTAAAGTTTTTACTTATAAAAAATTAGAAAGTGGCTCTGAAAGTGAGCCCACATACAGAAAAGCAAAAGGACTCCGTTTTAAGTTAAACCTCCATCTTGAGATTTAAAGGTTAACAGTTAAAATTCCTACTCCATCTTGAGATTTAAAGGTTAACAGTTAAAATTCCTAGAATGTCTTTTGCAAAAATACAATTTATGGTCTGCTATTAACGGCCATATGATCAACAATCAACAGACCATATCTTAAGCCAAAACAAAACACTCCCAAGGATTAATGACCAGTCTGTTTTCAAAAGGAGAATCATCACCTTGAAGGAGAAAGAAATTTTTCAGAATTCTTTCATATGGGCCTATCTTACAGAAACATCAAAGGAGGAGGTCCCTGACCACGTTTTGGGAAAGGCAATGAGTCAACATCTGCTGACCATGAAATGGAGCCACCAGAAACTGAATGACGTAGATACCATCATGAAATAACCCATTCCTCCCAAGCCCCTCACCCTCTGACACTGCTTGTATAAACTCTACGCAGAACTGCCCCAAGGTCCATGACTTTTCTCTTTTTTGCTGGCTCCCTTGCGTATGAGCTATCTGTAATAAACTCCACCTGCTTCCTTTCTTTTGAATTCAGTGTTTGTTTCTGTAGCACTGAAACCCAAGAACCTGGTCTTTGAGGGTCCGTAACAGCTCTGACTAAATAGTTATTGCATATGGCTGCTTTGAGAGAACAAAGTTACATCATCACAGACCAATAGAGAACATTCTAGAGGTCATTAAGAGAAATGAATAGAAAGGAGCACTAAATTCTCAAGGGAAAAACTATAAAAGTGAAAATTCATAAGATCAAACATGAAAAATGAGATTGATGTAGCCTCAGATTCTTGTATTGGCACCTTCGGTAATGAGGCCTTTCCTCCTGGTGGTTCCCAAGGTGAGCCATCTTCTCAGGTAACTAGGACACGTATACTGCATGGAGGAAGATTTCTGTCCTAGGCTTTGAGTTAGCATCATCCATTTGTCATATTATCTTCTTGTTTAAATGTATGTAATTGTTCATCTGCCCTCTAAGTGAACCCAATGAATGGAAGGGAGATTTGTCACCCTGGACTTGGAGACCTCAAAACACACACAGCAAAGGCCCTCCCTGGGTGAGCTGGTAACAAAGGGCCTCTCTCTGACTTCTGCCCCAAACCAAACTTGTATTTATTTCCTGTGTGAAAACATGCCTTTGTTGCCCTCGTGGTCTCACCCATTTCTGCACTTCAGGCTAGAAAGAAAGCTCTTACCTTTTTCTGAGACACAAGGAGGGAGAAACCTCTCTAACACACAGCCATGATCCCTATCCTGTCTTCAGCTGATCTTATTCCTCACAGACCTACAAGTCTGATAAATAAGATGCAGGTCTAGTCTGGCCTACCTTTTCCGGGAAAGGCAATGATGCCATCCAGTCCTGGCCAAGTGCCCAGGTCTCGCCACCTCACGGCAGCGGGCCCCTCTAGATCTCAGCCAGGTGAGGTCTGCTGGAGGAGCTGAAGGCTGAGGCTGTGGTCAGGGTGACTCCCTCACACCCCGGCCCCACCGCTGCTCCCACCCCATCCAGAGTTCCAAGTCCTCTTACTTTCCAGTATTAGGAGGCTGTGTTTCTCAAGCTGCTTCTGAGAAGCCTGAGCTCCTTAACCCAGAAATAGAAGAGTGCTGACAGGACAGAGGGGCCTGGGAGCTCCAGAGTTTGAGTGGTCCCCACTGAAAT